GGTTCAAATCCACCAGCAGCTGTTTGGCAGAAGGGTGGGCAATCTGTCCCAAAAATTTTTTTCCTATCAGACTCTCTTCGAGATAGGGTTATTTTTATAGGTAACATTTTTTTACCTTCTCGAAGACAGCAAGAAGTAACACCCTAAGCGTATTATTGCCTTACTCTTTTCTTTAATTTAAAGGTGATTGCTGTTTCTGTTATCATTACTGTGCTGGAAGAATTGTATAGGCTGAACACACTCCCTGTATACAGCACTTAGAGGAAGATTTTTTTTAAATTATTATTGTGTGTGCTTTATGTCTTTTATTTTTAATGATTTCCCAGAAATTCAGCAAAATTAAATCACTTCTTTAATCTTCTTTTCATATATTACTACCTTGCTGGTCTTTAGCCTTTTTGTGACTGAATTATTTTCTGCTTTGAGTTTTTTGTTGGTGCCATTTGTTGTCAGTAGTGGAAGGCATGCTAAAAACCAGGGAAACAATTTTTTTATATAATATGGATTTTGATACAATTATATGAAACACCTATGTCCCAATTAGACTCTGATGGTAGGGTTGATGGGATGAAACCCATTTCTTTAGCTCCACACAGTTACATAAGTCACACCAGGCAGGAGTATGTACTAAAAGTAGGCTAAAAACTTCCTAAGAAATTTGACACGCTGAAAATGTTGGTGAGCTATATATGTCTCACGAAACACATGGAAATGGTATAGAGGACATCCTCAGCCTATTCTTATTTTTTAAAAAGAATCTTTTTTTTATGTCTCCCCATTGAAAGTATTTACTGGATATTTTAGTGTATACTTTTTATTCACGATAAAAACAAAACCCACTGCCTTTGAGTCAATTCCAATTTATAGTTACCCCTTTTTGAGTTTCTGCCTGTCATTCTACTGCAAATTGACTGGTGGATACAGTCAGCTTCTGCACATTATGCCACTAGAGCTCATTATAAGTTTGATTAGGTCTAAGGGAATTCCCCTATACTATTTGTTACTAAGCATTTTAATTCTTTTTAAATTTTACCAAATGTTTTTTCTGCACCTGCTGGCATCATCATTTGCTTTGTTTGCTTTTACTTTAATTAATTAATGTGATGTATGACTTTTGAAGAGCTCCTAATAATAAACTAGCAAAGTTGTACGGTGGGAGTGTGCTAAGTCCAGAAGGATTTCCTACTAATAAATTATGCTTATATTTCTCAGACAAACTCAGCTTAGTCATTCTGTTTTATCTTATTACATTGCTCAATTCTCTATGCTAATATTTTGTGTGGGAGTTTTATAACTGTGATTATCCTGGAATCTGGCCTTTATTGGAGTTCCTCTTCCTTTCTTGTGTTCCTCTGTTTTAATTTCAAAATTAAATTGGCATTATAGGACATAATGAGCCTTTCCTCTTCACCTGTTCTCTGAAAGATTATATAATATTGGAATGTGTGGATTTGTATCTTGAAAGTTTGGTAGAACTTGCTATCTGGGTAGAGTATTTTGGTTTTCTTTTTATAGGAAATGTGATCTGGTTTCACTTGATTTTCACAACTGTTTTGAGCAGTTTGATAAGACTAGGCTTCGAACAATGTCAGTAGTATTATACACAAGCAAAATCTTGCTGAAGATTATTCAGAAACAACTGAAACAGTATATTGACAGATAACTACCAGAAATACAAGCTGGGTTTAGAAGAGGGCGTGGCACTGGAGACATTGCCAATGTCAAATGGATCTTGGCAGAAAGCAAAGAATACCAGAGTCTGTGTTTCATTGACTATGCAAAGGCATTTGACTGTGTGGATCACAACAAATTCTGGCTAACCTTGAGGTGAATGGGAATCCCAGAACACTTGATTGTGCTCATGCGAAACCTCTACTTGGACCAGGATACAGTCCGCAGAGCAAAGAAACACTGCATGGTTCAAAATCAGGAAAGGAGTGTGTCAGGGATGTGTCCTGTCTCCATACCTTTTCAATCTATGTGCAGAACAGATCATTCTGGAAGTTGGGCTTTATGCGGAGGAATGTGGCATCAGGATTGGAGGTTGACTCATCAACAACCTACATTATGCAGATGACACAATCTTGCTGAAGCTGAGGACCTGAAGCACTTGCTGCAGAAGGTCAAGGACTATAGTCTTCAATATAGATTGAAACGCAACACCAAGAAAACAAAGATTCTCACTACTGGGCCAATTGGCAGCACCATGATAGATGGAGAAGAGATTGAAGTTAACAATTATAGCTTGCTCGGCTCTACAATCAACACTCTTGGCACCAGCATTCAGGAAATCAAAAGATTAATTCCATTTGGAAAATCTGCTGTCAGGGACCTCTATCTACAGAGTACTGAGAAGCAACAATGTCAATCTAGAGACTAAGGGGTACCTGGTCCAAGCCATGGTCTTTGCAATTACTTGCTAGATATCTGAGGGCTGGGAAGTGACTAAGGATGACAGAAGAATTGATGCCTTTGAGTTGTGGTGCTGAAGAAAAGTCTTGAACACAGTATGGACCACCAAGAAAGCAAATAGGTCTGTCCTCAAGAGGGCAAAACCAAGTTTCTCCTTGAAGGCTAGGATTTTTAAGCTCCATCTCACTTGGACGTGGCCAAGAAGGACCAGTCCTTGATAAAGACATCATGCTTGGAAGGATGAAAGGACAGTGCAGGAGAGGAAGGCTCTGGGTGAGATGGATTGATGCTGTAACTGGGGCAATGGAGGGTAGGTGTGTCAGAATCAATGATACTGGCTTAAGACAGGGCAGGCTTCAGAACTGCTGTACGTATAGGGTAACTCAACTCATCAGCATATAACAACAATTGCTTATAAGTGAGTTTTGGATAACTTGCATTTTCCTAGAAATGTCTCTATATCACGTGCTCTTTAAAATTATTGCAGTAACCTTGTTCATATTATTCCTTTAGCCTTGTTCTCTGAGTCTTCTGGTGTCTCTCACTTGTCTTATTGTGTGTTTGGCTGTGATTGCAATTTCATTTCTTGTTCTTATCTGTGGAAGTCCTATGAGCTTCAATTGGAAATCTAGAGAAGGTTTGCCTTTTCTGCAAGCTGACGCAGGGTGTGACTGATTTGCTACTTTAGTCCCATTGACAGTCTTGGCTCTTTTCAGAATCCTATGCTCAGTTTCTCTAACTTGCTCTTGGTTCATGGCTCAGTATCTCAGTAGCAAGTATGACCATTGTTGCATTCACCCTTCCCTGTGATCCAGGGAACCACTTTAGATTGAGCTCACACAATCCTTTTGTATGGAAAAGGTGAAAGAGGCAGATGTCCTCAGAGACTTGCACTTCTTTTGTGAGAGCAAAAGCACTCCATTTTAGTGATGATCTTTCAGTACTAGATATTGCATACAAAAGTCCCCACATTTCTTTTGGTATTCTGTTTGGGGTTTTTAAAAAACATTTAAATAAAATTTTTACTTCATACTGGTTTATTTACAAAGTTCTTATACATTAGGTTTGGTTGTCTGTTATTTTTTTTATAATGTTAATTTTCAAACATGGAGAAAACTCCAATAGTGCTGTGATCACCCATGTACCATAATTTATAGTTAGCTATAATTATCATTCATTTATGGCCACACTTCTCATTAGTTTCCAGTGAGGCAGTTCCTACTCATGGAGATCCCAAGCATGCAAAGTAGGATTGCCTCATAAATTTTTCAAGGTAGTAAACTTTTAGAAACAAATCACTAGAGGCCTATCTTCAAAGCCATGGCTGGGTAGGTTCAAAACCATCAACCTTTTGGCTGGTTATTGGACATTTATATGTTTTATTTGTTCTACTGCCCTCCCAACTGTATTATTTTGACACTAATACCAGGCATTTTGTTTTCTTTCTAAATATTTTAGCATGCAATTTTAAAATACTATTTAATAACATAACCACACTATCTTGCTCAAAAAATTATTTACAGTTTTGTGATATCTTCAAATATCCACTTAGTATTCAACTTTCTTCCACCATCTCATATTTGTTTACAGTTAGCTTGTTTGAATCACTACCCAGATAAGCTGCCCCAATGCATGTGGTTGTTACGTTTCTTTTAATTTACAACTGTCCCCCTTTTTTCCCGCCTTTAATTTCTTGATCATTCATCCTTTAGAGATTATCACATTCTGGACTTAGTGCATCACCATCTAGTCAGTTAACATTTTTTTCCTAGCCACTTTATTTCCTGGAGTTATAGTTGTCTCGAAAAATTTCATCAGATTCGTGTTCAAACATTAAGCTCAGATACTTTCTACTTGGAGGTTTCAGTTTCTCTGTCTAAAAATGAAGACTTTTCTGTTTACCTCACACCAGTGCCAGTAAGCTCTTCAAAACAATCGGGTCAGTGTGCTAACATGCACACACTCTGTAGATAAGGAAGCAATAATGTAAACAGCAAGTTGTTATAAAGATTAAATTATACTTCATATCATATCAGTGTTAATATACATACACTTACCCACTTGCAATTCTTTGAAAATTGCCAACATATGTATCATATTTGGTTGGGAGATAATGAATACACGACAATAATAATAACAATGTCAACTAGATGACAAGAACAGTTCTAAGTTTATGCATTAAACTCAATCTTCAGAGCAATGCTATGAGGTAGTCTTTTGATTTCCATTTTACAAACTGAAACAATAATTCACCCAAGGCCTTAAAGCTAGTAAACTAAAATTTGAACCTAGACAGTCTAGACCTAGAAGTCATGCTTTTAAACCACTGTCCATACTATGCCTCCAAAATATATCCATATTTTGATGATCATCCTTCAAAACTGTGCCTTCTACAAGTAAACTTGCTGGCTTAGGTAAGTTTATTACTAAATAGCTTTACCAAAGCCATGTTTGTGTCTGTTGCCAAAGTATTAGTCCTCAATATGTCACTTAGTATTTCAAAATTATTTACATTGCTTCCTTTGGACTTCACTGTTATAAAAAGTATATATACCATCTCATGCTTAGAATTCTGTGTCTTTTCCAAGGTACACTGCACGTTGGGGATGAAATTAGAGAAATCAATGGCATCAGTGTAGCTAACCAAACAGTGGAGCAGCTGCAAAAGATGCTTGTAAGTAAATAAAAGATGTTCTTTTTCGAAAGTTGTATTTTTCCATTTGTTAGCTTGTTTCTTAACACATAAATATACTCTTTTGAACTCTGGAACCTATAAAACAGTCATAATAGCTGACATTAGGAGAATGTTTGCA